TGTGTGTGTGTGTGTGTGTATACATATATATTACACAAATATTCACACACACATCACTGGCATACACACATGAATAGTAGTCAACCTTAGAAAGGAAGAAAATCCTGCCATTTGCAACAACATGGATCAAATTGGAGAACACTACGCTAAATGAAGTAAGCCAGGCATTGAAGGATGAATACTGTTTGATTTCATGTATGTGAGGGAGTAAAACTCAGGCACCAGCAGTTAGCGTAATGGCTATGTTGCTGGCCTTCCATGTGGTCGACCTTGGTTCGAGTCTCGGACCCTGTGGCTTAAACTCACTCCAGGCGCATGTGCGTGCTTACCCAAGATCTTGAGAGAATGGAGGAGAAGGGATACAACATGGCCATCCCCCCCTCCCCCCGAGGGGGGTGGTGGTGTGTGTGTGGTTTCTTGCTTTCTGTCTCTTTCTTTCTGTCTTTCTGGTGAGTGCGCATGCCCTATAGCGAAAATCTCTCTAAAAAAAAAAGAGTAAAACTCATAATGGCAGAGAGAGTACAGTGGTTGCTGGTGGTGGGGGTAGAAAAATGGGGCCATGCTGCATGTAGGGTATTTGGCTTTGGGAGTGTGAGCTGAGTAAGTTCTGGAGCCCTGCTGTACATCCACTAAGAGCCCGTAGTGAATACGGCACTGTGTACGTCGCTCGCTGCTGAGGGTCTATCTCCCATGATGTGTTCTGACCACAGCAAGCCAGACGTCCTGGGAGGTGTTGGCCTGCTGCCTTGACTGTGCGGACGGTTTCACGGGTATATGCTCATGTCAAATTGCAGATGCTAAATATTTGCTGCTCCTTGTGTATCAATTATACTTCAATAAAATGGTTACAAAGGAATAAGACCTTCACCCAGAGGTGCTGGTGACCCGAATGAAGGAAACGATGACATGGAGTGATTTGAAAACTTTATCACCCTGCGAGGCCCCCACCACCCTGAGCTGCCTGCACTGTTTAGTGATCAGCTCTGCCTGGCATGAATGGGTGCTTACACGGGTGTTGAGAGTTAACGAGAAGTAGAGAATTACATGCGAATCGATAGTCATCTCTGCGTGAACATAGCTGGTATGTGAGCTCTTGGAAGTCAGAAATTTTGTTTCAACAGGTCCATTTTTATAAGGAAGCAGGCACTGAACAAATGCTATCAAAATGAACCAATATGCGTATTAGTGGGGTGTGACCTCCACATTATGGTGTCCAACTATACGGAAACAGACTTCTCAGGACGAATACTGAAAATATCAACTTCAAAATGAAGTACAAAGCTCTCAGGCTGCAAGGCCAGGCAGGGCACAGGGGAAAATGAGACACTCTGTAAGGCTGACCCACATGGGAAGGTTCTGGGTTTGCATCCGGAGAGTTCCTTGAGCACACTGGGCATGCATGTGCCCATGATCTGGTGCTCAGTGAGGCCGGGGAGGGGGTGGAGCTTGGCAATAAGACTCTTTTGGGGGTGCTGTCTCTCTTGTTTATGAAGAAATAAATACACTTTAAAAAAAAAGACAGGTATTGTATGTGCCTGCTAAATATATACTGAATGTCTGCACTCTATAGCAGAAACAGAAAGGCTGGAAGGTAGAATAGCAGGGAGGGCGATTGTAGGTACTAGAGGCAGTATCGCCCACTAGAGGTGGGTAACGGGGTGTGCAGCAGGCGGTGGGAGGGAGGGGATCAGGGAAAACCAACACATGTAATAGACACAAACATGAAGTTACCTGCTGATGATAATGTATACGGCAATGTCTGGCTTGACTATTGTCAATGCACTCTATTCACGCTGGGAAAAACCATGCTGTACACTGTGAAGTGAACAGTGATTAAATGTAAATAAAAATAGCTCTCATGTTCCTATTCCACATAATATTTATGTGCCACCAAAGATGGATTAGAACAACAAAATAAGTTATTTTGTTTGCCATTTATCTTGTGTGCTCATTTTTTTTCTTTTCTTTCCTTTTCTTTTTCTTTTCTTTTTTTCTTTTTTTTTTAGAGGTTTTTGCCATAGGGCATGTGTGCTTGTGGGATAGAGAGACACAGACAGACAGTGAGAGGGAAAGTGAGAAATTTCACCGTGGGGGTATGGCCACGCAGCAGACCCTTCTCCTCCATTCTCCTCCTGGGATCTTGGGCAGGCATGCACACACATACCTAGAGTGATTTTTAAGCCACAGGGTCCAGGATTCGAACCTCAGTTGGACATGTGGGAGTCTAGCAACGTAGCCACTGTCATCTGTTTGCCTTGTGTGCTCATTTCTTTATCGGAGTGAAAAGCATCCACTCAGTAAGAAATGCTGTCGTGAATGCCAGACTAGCACTGTTCTTTGCAGTGTGTGGTGTGGTTGCGAGAAGTGTTTGCAGTTGCTACAGGTGATGCAGGTGATGTTGTCAACATTGCTGTTCCCTGTGACCAGCACAAACGGAGTTGAGGTTCACCCCTGTGCCACATCTGAGCAGCAAGCTCACAGTGACGTTGGCCCCCACTCAGATCCTTCAAACGCTACCTGTTTGGTGAAGACATTCTGGAAGCAACTGGGGAATTTCTGCAAACGTTTTGGAGATTACAGGTCAAATATATGCTTTGTTTTTCCCTCCTTACCTTCTTTCTGTAAAATAGTACCTAAATTTTGGCGTTTTATAACTGGATCTTCGAAAGGGAGGGCGTTTAACTTTTATTTAAATGTAGAAGATTGGGCACTCGTGTTAAACGGCAAGCAAAATAACGGCTTCTGCTCCTTTTCCAGTCAATCCATCCTTTGTGCATATAAATATAATGTGGCAGGAGCGCAGGGGTTGTTAACCTCTGACCTGCAGTTGATGTTTTCAATACCAGGAAGATCAGGAAGAGTGCTAGGGTCCAGCTGGACACTAAGAAGTGGAAAATATGCCAAAGATGGCAAAGAAAGCAGGGCGGGCCTGAGCAAAGTGACTTTTGGTCCTGGTTGCTGTGGGGAAGGCGAGTGGACTATTTGTGTGTGTGAGGCATTTTTCAGATACTTACAAGATATAAGTATCTTTCAAGGGGAGTTTGGACCAATGACTTCAAGTTTTGGAGCCTCTGGGCTTCGCACAGGACTTGGTACTTGATTCTTAGAGCCCTGGAGAACCCCTGGAAGGTGAGAAACAGAGGAACAATACGACCAGTCTCAAGTGTTTGATAATCACTGACATTTAGGAACTGTGGAAGCAATCAGAAGAGAGGTAGGACCGGATGGAGGCTGTACAGTCAGGTATGGGAGGTCTAGGGACTGAGAAGGGTCAGGTCAAAAAACTGGAGAAGAGGGGCCAGCAGGTGGCATAGTGGTTAAGGTGCTGGACTCCCACGTGGCTGACCACAGTTCGAGTCCAGACCTGGCGGCTTGAGACTCATGGCGGTGCATATGTGTGTGTGTATGTGCCCCACATCCTGAGAGGAGAATGAAGGAGAAGGGATTGAGGCTGGCCATCTTTCTGGGAGGTGATTTTTCACTTACTGTCCCTCTGTCTGTCCAGAAAACACACACCCCCCATAGCAAAAATCTGTCTTAAAAAAACAAAACAAAACAAAAAAACAACCTAAAAACCAAAACACACCTGAAAAGAATGTGTTGAGGGTGAGGAAGAACAGGAATGGATTTAGGACATGTGGATGATGCTAATTTCTCTTATTGCTGGCCTCACAATTCTTCACATCTAGCTAGCAACCACAAGCATGCTTCCAGGCTGTAGAATGCAACTGGGCAGAAGCTTCAGGGATCCTAGCCAGGGCACGGACATGGAGCCAGGGCAATCCTTGCTCCTCCTGAGTGGACACTTTTCTGTGAGTGAGGCACTTTTGTAGATTCCTATAAGATAAAAGCATCTTTGAGAGGGGGTTTGGAGAAATGTCTTCAAGTTTAAGAGCCTGCCGGCTTCGTGTGGGACTTCATACGTGATCCTTAAGTCCCAGGGAACCCCTGGAAGGTGATAAACAGAGGAATAAGACGATGAATCTCAGATGTGTGGCTGAAATCAAGGCTCTGAGCTCCTCCAGAAGTGAGGGTCAGAACTTCTATCTGCCAGGATTGCTGGGGACCAGGGAGCGGGCCGAGATCTTCTGGGCAAACGACTGCTGAATGGTAGTTATCATTTCTTGCCAGGGGAAGTGGAAGTTTGTTTCATTTCCGTGAAGTTGCTAGGTGCTCCAACTGCTATGCAGCTCCTAGAATGGAAGGAGGGTCAGGGATCCAGCGAGTTCACCATCTCATTTACGGAGACAGGCCTGGAGTCTCAGCGTGTGCTGGAACTCTGCAGGCGAGGAGCCCTCAGCACCGAGTTCTCTATTCCGCACTCCACTCCCCCTCCCCCAACAGCACTGGTCTACAACGAGCAGTTGCTGCTCATCCCCGAGTTTCTGTGAGGGAGGCAGTACTGGGGAGTGGTTGAGAACACCTGCCCCAACTCATTGCTCTGGGCAGCTTGGTTTGCTCCTGAGTTTGCTTCCTGTTCTGTGAGCTGCGAATGCCCATGGTGTGGCTGAGTAAGGCCACCACACACGGCACTGAGCACGCGACAGAAACCCAAATGGACCTTACCAGTTCTAGGTCTGACATGTCGATGTCGAGCAGGGGGACCCACGAGACCCAAGGCATAGTTAGTGTCATCTCTACGTCAATGCCATTTAGTGACTTTAGATGGAGCCCATACTGCAGCCTCCGTGGGGGGCAAGGGTGGCACGTGGCTTGCCCTTGACCACCCCAGGCATTGGAGACAGGTGCCACTTCACAGCAATGGTGTGATCCGGGTGTAAGAGGGACCACAGCTAACTGAGGAAGGCAGCACAGCCTCAGTGGGTGGCAGTGGGTGGTGGCCTTGGATGAGCCACACTGTCCTGGGAGACATGGTTCCTTTAAGTGGAATCCGTAACCGTAGTTCCATGGATTGAAGACCAAACCAAGCAAAAGATTTCGTCACTAGAGCTTTGTAATACATCTCCAACCTTCTTACTTCCATTGGTAAATTTGAAATTAATAGCATAATACTTTAACAAGAATGTATTTTGAAATCACTTTATTTCTTTTTTTTGGCCAGCCAGAGTTTATATATTTAAAATACTCGACTTAGAGTAAACAAAGTGGTTGTTCAAATGAGGTGCAATCAACATCTTAGCAATAAGTATTTAGTTTCTGTTTATATTTTCATTATTGAGTATCTTAGGATCATTTAATAGCAACAGAACATAAAAGCAAACAGTACCCCTAGAAACTTGTAAACACAGTTGAGACCTGGGCATTCCACAGTTGAAGGATTGCTGCAGTGCCAAGAAATGCTAGAGAGTTTGGTGGACATGACCTCACTTGCCATGTCTGATAGAGAATGAACATCACGAACAGTCTGCTTTGGAGAGAAGTAAGTTGTGACTTTTCAGATGATTAATTGATAGTGTGTCAACTTCTGACACTGCATTCTTTTATTCCAGATTAACTTATTTAATCAAAAGAAGAATTTTTTTTTAGAGGTTTTTGCTATAGGGCGTGTGCAGTCGCCAGACAGAGAGAGACAGAGAGACAGAAAGCGAGAAATCACCCTCCAGGGGGAATAGCCACGACGCAATCCCTTCTCTTCCATTCTCCTCTTGGGATCTTGGGCACGCACGCACACACACCTGGCTTGAGTTTTAAGCCACCGGATCTGGGACGCAAACTGCGGTCGACTACATGGGAGTTCAGTGACATAGCCATTATGCTAACTGCTGGTCCCCTGAGTCTGTTTTCTTAATGGGAACATTTTTCATAGAAGGATTATCTCTTTTGGTCTGAGTATGGCACTAAAATGAATGCCACCGTTTATCGGTGCCTCCTGGGTACAGGTATTGGGCACACTTCATGGCAGGGATGGGGCCTGGGCTCCAGAGCCAGGAGCTGGGCTTGAAACCTAGGCCTGCCACTTCCGTGCGAGTTATGCCAGTATATTATCTAATACTTATAATACTATATATATATATATATAATGCTAGTATTAATAATACTATATATAATGCCTGGCCAGGGAGAGCTAGGGCAGCTAGGGCAGCAGGCCAAACTCAGCTCCACTCAGAGCCACCTCTGTCCTCCAGCACTTGGGTCTCTGACCTACACTGGAAAGTGAAAGAAAGAACAAGTGCTCAAACTATTAACTGCTGCAAACACAGAGACAAAGCAATTTGTTAAAAAGAATATTCCAATTTATTAGAAAAGAAGCTGAATACACAGATTTTTATATCTTACCTCCTGATTGTAAGATGTTAACCTCTAGTTCAAATTTTATTTACTTATTTTTAAACATGTACATTTTACATTTAATTGTTGTTTATCTATGGAATATGGACAATTTATTGCTAAGTGAAACAAGCTAGACTATGAAAGAGAGGCACTGAATGTCCCCACTCCATATATACCAAATGTCGGCACTCTGTTGTAGAAACTGAAAGACCGGAAGGCATGGAGAGCAACTGCAGATACTAGGGACAGCATGGGAGGAGGGTGGAGAATGGGGGAGGTGACAGAGAGGGAACTGAAAAAAAATAGAAAGGAGTAAAACATTTAAGAGATTAAAAAAATGGAAACAAACCAATTCTCAAGGAGCAGAAGAAGTGTGCTGAACTGAAAACAGCTAAAAAGTCGATGGTTTCCAGGCCTGGGTGCATTGTGGGGAGCGGGCTGCAGAAATGCTAAGGTGGACCCCTAAGAACTAGGACCTGGGACCCTGGAGTGAGGCTCAGAAAGCAGCAGATCAAGTCACTAGCAACTCCTGGCTGCAATTCAGGCCCAGACTTAGCCCCAAGTGTTCCCTGATTTTCTTAGAATTCAGTCAAATATTGGGACCAGCAGTTAGCATAATGGCTATGTCGCTGAACTCCCATGTAGTTGACGCGGTTTGAGTCCTGGACCTGGTGTGATAAACCCGCGCTGGGTGCATGCACGTGCGTGCCCAAGATCCTGAGAGGAGAATGGAGGAGAGGGGATTGCGGTGTGGCCATCTCCCTTGGGGAATGATTTCTTACTTTCGGTCTGTCTCTGTCTTTCTGGCGAGCACATGCCCTATAGCAAAAACCTCCCTCCGCAAAGAAAAAAGAATTCAGTCAAATGTTTAAGACCCTGTAGATCAAAAGAGCCATTTGATTTTGTCTTCCCTAAAGAAAACTTTTATAGGACCACCTCTCATACAGGCGACCTGTCCCCCGATGCCTGTGCCATGTCTATCCTCTCTTCAGTCACAGGAAGATAGGAATGCCTGCTGTTGGTGGAGAGGATTTTCACTGTATTCTGGCTAAAGGGCCAATTTACTGTGGGCATCAATATCTAGGAATATATATATATATATATATATATGCCTATGTATTTACAGTCTCAGATTCAAATACCTTCTAGGAAACTACAAAGAGCTTTATTTTTCCAGCACGATTCAAAGCTTATTGAGGTTACAGGCATTTCATTTATCATGAGACTTCCTGAGGAAAAGTAAAATAAGAATATAGGCAGGTTTTCAGAACTAACTTTTTGACGAGTGGGGTAGAGAAGACAAACACTCCTACTGTTTTTGAGGTAATTATTTTTTGGTGAAATGGACTTAAGCGCACTAAGCAATGGGAAGCCGGCTCTCGCTTTGTAGGTTTAGGGGGGAAATCATTCTTCCTTCGTGTGGGAGAGAAACTATTACAAAGGCTTGGATTTGAGACCTTTTCACGGAATTTAGGGGTCCTCTGAAGCCTTTCTATAAACTCCTTGGAAGAAATACTTGTGTCGTTGTGCTTTATCTGTGATTGCTTCAGTGTCTCAGGCCTTGCTCAGATATCTGAACTATTTGCTTTCTTGGCAGCCTGTGCGTTGTGGTTGGGGGAGGTGGAGGGAGATTTGCTTCTAACCTAATGCCTAGCACACAGTAGAAGCTTCCCTGAAAACGGCTTCCAATAACAGAAGCATGAAAAATAAACTTGAATATATAAATTTTCATTAACATATGTGGCTATACACTCCAGGCTGTAGGGTGAGCCTACAGTGCTAAGACCCAGCCACATGTAGGGGTGGGCTGACCAGCCCTATTTTCAGACTGACCCTCTCTTGTCTGCCGTCCATTGCTCCTGTCCAGTTGTATAACAAATTGTTTTCCTACCCAACCCAGCTGACTGTTCTTAATACTGATTCCAGGAATTCAGAGAAAACATGCTCCTACCCAAGGTGTAGCCCCTCTGAATTCCTTTTAAAAGTCCTGGCTTGGGGCCAGCAGGTGATGTAGTGGTTACAGTGCTGGACTCCCACATGGTTGACCACAGTTTGAGTCCTGGGCCTGGAGGCATGAAAATCACACTGTGCACATGTAAGTGGGTACCCAAAATCCTGAGAGGAGAATGGAGGAGAGGGAATTGTGGTGTAACCATACTTCCTAGGGGGTAGTTTCTCACTTTCCGTCTCTCTGTCTTTCTCTGGTGACTGCATGTGTCCTATGGCAAAAACCTTAGAAAAAGAAAAAAAGCCCTGACTTGCTTTGGAGTGGGGCTTGGGGTGGCAGCAGAGATGGAGTATGAAATATGACAGATGTCACATGTGTTTACCTTATAATAAGTCCCTTTGTAGTCCTTTACTGGAGTGGTCTTGTTCTTGTTTTTGGTCTCACCGATCCTATAATTGAACATCAGGCTCTACTTTTCATTCTGTTGCGATTGGCTACCATTCCAAAGGCTACCTCATGGTCCACAATGACTGCTGGAGTTCCAGCCATTCAATCACATTCTTGGACAAGAAGAAGGAAGAGGGAGAAAAAGAGTAGCTCTTCCCATTCGGGAGTTTTCCTGAAAGTACCTCTTCGTTCTAGTCCATTTTGTTGTTAATAACAGAAAATACAGGGAACCAGCAGTTAGTGTAATGGCTGTGTCGCTGGACTCCCACGTAGTCGACCGCGGTTCGCGTCCCGGACCCGGTGGCTTAAAACTCATGCTGGGCGCATGTGCGTGGATCCCGAGAGGAGAATGAAGAAGGGATTGCAGCGTGACCATCCCCCCTGGGGGGTGATTTCTCGCTTTCTGTCTCTATGTCTCTGTCTGTCTGGTGAGTGCACACGTCCTATAGTGAAAACCTTTCCAAAAAAAAAAAAAAAAACAGAAAATACATAAAATTGAGTGATGCATAAAAATGGGGATTTGTTCAGTTCATGGTTTGGAGGTTCCGAGTCCACATTTGGTGGATGCCTCACAGAGTCCCAATCATATTACAAGGGAGAGAGCAGAACAGAGTGGCAGAGTCCACATGTGGACTCTGGACCTCCAAACCATGAACTGAGCAAACCCCCTTTTTTATGAATATGGCTGCTGATTGGCTTGTCCTGGCTCCTGGCTAGATCTGGGGGCCGGAGGGTGAAGTCTGGGCAGAAGGTCTTCGGTGGTCCTAATCCTCGTTTGGGATTTTTCTCACAGAAGTTTTACACCAAGTAATTCCTGCAGGAGGCATCATCACAGACGTACTGAGGACTTAGTGGGTGCCTTGCACTGTGCCAGTGTTGAGGATACAGAGTGAGTAGGAGGGACAGTATGTCTACCTTTGGGAGGTTACAGAACAGCAAGACAGAGACATAAACATTGTCATAGACAATGACTCGCATTGTGTCAGAGGGTTGAGCTACCGTTGAACAGGGAGGGGTCCACTGCCTGGCGGGTAGGAGTCTCTCCTATTTTTAGCTGAGACCTGGAGGAGCAGGAGGTGAGGGCGGAGGGGTGCAAGGACACAGCCTGCTCCGCGCTGGAGTCAGGGCGCATCTCTTTACCCGTCCTTGTCCTGGGTGGTGGTTGGGATCAAGGAAAGCCATGTCACCAGACCATCCCCTTCCACCTCGGTCTGTGCACTCTGGGTGCCTTAGGACTTCCCTCTGCTTGTTCCTTGGGTGGTGGCCACAATGACCTGCTGCCACTGCGGTCCTGGTGTGGGGAAAACCCAGCCCAGCAACCTGAACGCCTTCATGCCCAGATTGCTGCAAGGGAGGAAAGACAGGTGATGGCGAGGCAGGATTAATCCTTGTGGAATGTTGTCACCATTTTTCAGGATACGATTTGTTTTCTGTGAATCTTGCCTTTTTTTTTTTTTCCCTCTTTTTTTGGAGAGGTTTTTGCTATAGGGCGCGTGCACTCTCCAGAAAGACAGAGAGAGACAGAAAGACAGAAAGCGAGAAATCACCCCCCAGGGGGGATGGCCACGCCACAACCCCTTCTCCTCCATTCTCCTCTCAGGATCTTGGGCACGCACGCACACGCGCCCGGTGTGAGTTTAAGCTGTGAGTCTGGGACTCAAACCATGGTCTATTACACGGGAGTCCAGCAACATAGCCATTACGCCGACTGCTGGTCCCTGTGAATCTTGCCTTTTGTGAAGTTTGGGGTATTTATCAAACTGTTGTTTATTATTTTCAAACCAATAAGCAGATGCACAGAACACACCTCTCACAGGAAACTCCCAGCCAGAATGCGTTGAGGAAGCCTCCTTTGCCCTCTCAAGTAAATACACACGCCTGCGCACACTGCCGCCTCCAGTCTGCTAAGTTCAACAGTGAAGTAGAGCAGAGAAAGGATACCACTAGGCCCAACAGCAATCTAACTAGATCTCCCAAGTCTGGAGTGACTCACTGGGTGAGTCTGGATGTTCTGCTGCCTCCTCTATGAACAGGGCCGCCTCAGCTCGGAGTGGCCGGGACGGGCCAGTGTGCGCCCCAGCCCTCAGTGACTCGTGGCTGTTGCTGAATCGGAGGACGTGTTTGCTCCTCTCTTGCCAACCTGCCATTCTCCCCTTTCTGTCCATCTGGATAGATCTTCTCTTCCCTTAGAGAAAAGACAGCCAAGTTCTGTACTAGTCCTGCCTGGAGCATGCACGTGGTGCTTCGACCCCCTTTCTCTGCCGGGTTCTCATTCCTTGCCTCTGTCCCCAGTTTCTGCATAAGCCTCTCTTGCTTATGGAAGGTTCTGCCTTCCCACAGACTCATCTGATTTGACTGCACCTCTGTGACCCATGGCAAGTGTCACATTTGCGATCACTTGTTTAGAGGTCACTTCCCTGGGAAACTTGAATTCCTCCTCAGTGGGGGTTGTGTCTTCTGTCTTGTTCTCAGCCCAGGACCTCACCATCATGGTACTTAATGAATATTTGCTCATTGTCAGAGAGACATCCCACTCCCTTCCCCCACCGTGTCTGGTTTTCCAGGACCAGGTGTGGACTCAGAGCCCCCGTGTAGTCTATTCCTACATGGAACCACAGATGCTAGGTTGGAAGGGCCAGTAAGATCAACTAGTTCATCTTCTCCTTTCAGATGAGGCAATGGTCTTTGTTTGCCAGGTTGTTGAACGAAATACCACTTGCTGGGTGGCATAGAAATTTTCTGTCTCTGGGACCAGCAGTTGGTGTAATGGCTATGTTGCTGGACTCCCATGTAGTCGACAGTGGTTTGAGTCCCAGACTTGGTGGCTTAAACTCACGCCTGGCACATGTGCATGCATGCCCAAGATCCCTAGAGGAGAATGGAGGAGAAGAGATTGAGGTGTGGCCATCCCCCTGGGGGGTGATTTCTCACTTTCTGTCTCTCTGTCTTTCTCTCTTTCTGGTGAACACACATGCCCTATAGCAAAAACCTCTCAAAAAAAAAAAAAAAAAGATTATCAGCAGATTGAGTGCTATGGGGAAACTGACTCAGGTCTCTCCTTCAGCGTCTATGGTTTGCTGCAATCTTTGGAGTTCCTTGGCTTGTGGCAGGACAACTCCAATATTCACACAGCACTCTCCCTGTGCTTGTTCACATTTCCTTTTCTTCTGAGGACACCCATCATACCGCACGATGGTCCACCCTAATGACCTCACTCAACCTCATGGCTTAAGTTAACGACTTAACTTGATAATCTTCAAAGCCACTACTTTAGTCCATTTTGACACGAATAACAGAAAATATATAAAGTTGGATGACTTGTAAAAATAGAGGGTTACTCAGCTCAGAGTTTGGAGGTCTGAGGTCCTGGGCTGCATTTGATGGGAGTCTTGCGGAGTCCCGACCAGATCAGGAAGATGAGAGCAGAGCAGAGCAGAGCAGAGCAGAGCAGAGCAGAGCAGAGCAGAGCAGCTGGCCATAAGAGGCCTCTCTTCTGCTCTCTTTCTCTCTATAAACTCACCAGAACTAAATCATGGGGGTCCCTCCCTAACCACTTAATCACTTCCAGAGGTCCCATCTTTCAACCCCACGAGGGCTTAAGTTGACCCTTTAATACCTTCAGGAGCAAATTTTTTTTTTTGAGAGGTTTTTGCTATAGGGCGTGTGTGCTCGCCAGACAGACAGAGACAGAGAGATAGAAAGCAAGTAATCTCCCCCTTGCAGGGGGGTGACCACGCCGCAATCCCTTCTCCTCCATTCTTCTCTCGGGATCTTAGGCACGCACGCACACGTGCCCGGCGTGAGTTCTAAGCCACCAGGTCCAGGACGCGAACCGCGGTCGACTACGTGGGAGTCCAGTGACATAGCCATTATGCTAACTGCTGGTTCCCAGGAGCAAATTTTGACACATCATTTTTTGGGGTAGGGGCACAAACCACAGCAGACCCTTTTTCAGACAAGGTCACATTCTTAGGCACTGGGGGCTAGGACTTGACCATCTTTTGGGAGACCCAATTTTGCCCATTACAGCGACTAACTTCATAATATTTACATCATCCTCCCTGTTGAAAGGCTATCCTATTTACTCACCTTTTGTAGACATGGTGGGTGTGTTATTTTCCCAGGAATATTCTTATTTGTTGTGCTTTATGGGCAAGAACTATAATAGAAGACAGAGGAGAACTGATTATAAGTTGGAAGGTTGTCTGCTCAGGTAATGGAATTTGTTTGCCAAGTTTGGAAATTCGTTGGATGGACTGAAGTACACCCACTTGCCTGAAGATCCTCTAGGACACCCAGTCACAGAAGTTCATTTATTCTCATGGATCAATAAACAATTATCTAGAGAAAGTGACTTTGTTACAATTTAATTAATGTTCCCAAACTCTGAAATTAGACGGAATCTAAGTTTTGCCACATATTAGCTGTATGGCCCTGGGCAAGTCACTTCATTGTTCAGAAGTCAATGTGTTCTCTGTAATGGCAGGCACTGAGCCAAATTCCCTCCTGAGACCCTTCACTAGAACCTCCTTTGGAGTATGTGAAAGAAGAAAAGTCCTCTAAGGAATCTGACCTTGAAATCCAAAAAGGAATTAATTTTCGAAGCACTTTTTGTCTTCATTATCATCAGTAGCTGTGAGTGGTTCCAGTCTTGGCTGCAAGAAAGAGACCTGATGCCTGCCTTGATCTACCCTGTGTACTCAGTATCTATGCCGTGTAATGGATGGACCCTTCGTCCCCTCTGCTAACTGGGTACCATTCCTCAATTCACCCAGGTGGTCATGCCCTGGGTGATATCAGAACTCTCATGGATTGAGTTTATCATTTTCACCTTCTAAATAACCACTTTTCCCAAAGAGTTATTTCTGTAAGTGTCTGATAACATATTTAACAACTCAATCGAAATTAGTTCTCGTTATTTGCACAGCTGAGCCTTCAGGGTGCATATACTCTTTGTATTCTTGGCATAAAAACTCCTGCCAATAATAGCATCTCGACTATAAATAGAGATTTTAGATGTCCTCTCCTTCTATTGTATTGCCTATTAAAATGCTCAATGTATCATAATCCTTTTTATTTTTTGTCATAAAGCTGTGACCCTTCATTGTGGGAGGGCAAAAGCAGACCAGATGTTTTAACCAAGTTTGGATAAATCAGACATCACCTTCTCTTTTTCCTACAAGAATGAGGCATAGCAGCTTGAGTAAAGCATAGACTATATTTTCCATTCAGTCTTTCCAAAGCAAACAGAACCAAGATGTGAAAGGCTGCTAACTGTGCTGTGTGAGCATTCAGTTTTAAGGGTGCGACCATCATTATTGTGGAAAGAGAGGTAGGTCAAACTATCAGTGTTTTGTCTAATTTAGAATTGAGACCAAAAATAACAATCTCAGCTGAAAAGGAAATAGAATTGACTAGTGAACTCCGTTCTAGCGTAACGTTGTAAGGGAGTGTCGACCTTGATATGAAACCGGGAAGACAGCCTCTCAATACAGAGACTACTGCCTTTCCCTCGAATGTAAGAATTCTTAGGTTTACATTTACATAATGGTAATTTTAGAATTTTGCTTTTTAAAAAAAGTTTTGTTATAGGGTGTATATGCTCATTAGAGAGAGAGAGAGAGAGAGTGAGAGGGAGAGAAATCACCCCCAGGGGAGCTGACCACACTGCAATCCCTTCTCCTCCAGTGTCTTCTCAGGATTTTGGGCATGTATGCACATGTGCAAGCCACTAGTTCTTGGACCCAGACTATACAGCTGTCCATGTGGAATCCAGACACCTTAACCTCCATGTCACCTGCTGGTCCAGAATTTTGCTTGTGTGGGTGTGTGTGTGTGTGTGTGTGTGTGTGTGTGTGTGTGGTTTTATAACTTTAGTTGAAAATCAGCAGTTAGTTCTCATCCACATTGACTGTAGATTTTTTAAACTAGTAACCAGTACATAGGTCACTAGAATGTAGAGCTTGTTGGGTGAATCGCTATCTTCATTATGTTTTCTGGACAACTGCACATGGATACGGTATGGGACGTTCCTTATCCCTTTGGCTCAAAAGGCTTTGTTGAACCTGGTATTAATGTGCACATATGGAGTCCCTATCTTCTTCATGGAAATTTCTGGATCTCTTTGAGTGCCTGAGGGGCATGTTTTTTGAAGCCCACACCATGGATGTGCTTATGAATGTTGATGGTGTATTACCAAGTCACCACCTCGTTGATGGCAGAATGGCTCTTCTTCTCACCACAAATCAATGAAGCCTGTTGTGAAACTGATTCTGATGGCATTTAACCTAAGCCAGACCAGTTTGATGGTGGAGTGAGAAGGAAAAGACTGGAAATGGGCACTCAGGGCATGCAGAGAGCAGGTGAGAGCTCCTCAGAGCACTTTCAGTAGACCTGGAAAATGCACACAGCATGGTAAAAGGGAGGCTATCGGTGCCATGAAGCAGCTGTGAGATGATGCTCTTGGGGCCTACGAGGGCCAGATTCTGGTACACAGAGGCCTTTCTGATGCGATTCCACATGTGGCTGTTGCTAGTGGTGGGCTGTGACACTGGATGAGAGGACAGGAAAGGCCTGTTAGGGGAGGGGAAGGCGCATGTGATATGGGTCTGAAGGTTAGGCTGTGGTAAAAAGAATGAGATGGGAGAGGCATTCTTATTGGAGGGAATTGTAAGAGAGAGGCATGATGGTAGGGACTCTTTCTTAGGCCAAAGATTGGGAAATGGAGCCCTAAGTTTATAAGACTGGCCAGGGAGTTTTCCATTCTAGAGTTTAACCTTGCCTCATTGCTCTCTAAGAAGCCTAGGAATAGGCTTCAGTTGGTCTATGAAATTTTGTTTAAACTTTTTGTATAAGTGCATGCTTCAGTTTTCTGTTGCATAAGAAACACTCCAGAAATAACTTATAAGAATAACCATCTTAAAACAACTTACTATTTCTCATGATTCTGTAATCTTGGCTGGCTTAGTCAGGAACTAGAAGTTTGCCCTAGAACTCCAGCCTGGTGCTTGAGGGCCCTACTACCTATCTTCAGATCTCTTTCATGTGTGGTATGTACCTTCCTGCCATGTGCATGAGTAGTTTTAAATAACAGTTAAACCCATTGTAGGGATTCCTATCAAAGCCCATCTTTGGAGACATTTTCATGTTTTTCACTGAAACTCTTTATTGGAAACTACAGAACTTGTACAAAAGAGTAGAAATCCTGAAAGCCAACTTCGACTCAATAGAAGTAATAACTTTCATATATTTAGAGCTGTCCAAGTGTGAACTTTGTTGTAAGTCAATAAGTCAGTCATCCACCATTAGATGAATGGACATAGAGGATGGATAATTGTGACTCAAGGATTGTGCAAAAGCAAATCCTTCACTCCAAGACTATTATACTAGAAGATGGCCTTATGCTGACTTAGACACTAAGGATCCTGGTTCAGTTGTTCTTTAATGAGATGGAGAAAAGCCAATGAGATGTCTGGTAAGCACAGAGCACTTGGTAAATAGAAGCACATTTCCATAGGTTCGAGCTCAACTAGTGAGAGAGGAGCTCTTACCTTTCTCTCTTTCTTTTTCTTTTATTTTTGGGGGGTCAGTAAGGTTTTTGCCATAGGGCACATGCACTCACCAGAGAGAGGGAAAGTGAGAAATCACTCCCTAGGGGGAATGGCCATGTTGCAATCCCTTCTCCTCCGTTTTCCTCTCAGGATTGTGGGCATGCATGCGTATGCAACCGGAGTGATTTTCAAGCTGTTAGGTCTGGGACTTGAAGCATGGTGGGCCCTGTGGGAATCCAGTGTGAACCACCATGCCACCTGCTGGCCCCTGTGAGAAGAAGGGGTCTTTTTGTCTTTCTTACCTGAGGGTATGAGCAGAGAACAGATGTCATCACTTCTTCACTCATTCTTTGGTTGCTGCTTTAGAAAAGTTCCCAGCCTATGTGCAATTTATGTTCTAAGGAGAGAAAGATAGAATGAATATGTCAGACTCTTTCCACTGATTAATACTGGCAATCAGACAGGCAGCAGCTGCTTGCTTACCAACCTCATTAGCAGCCATGGGAGTGAGCTTCTACTTCTCTTGCATTACTTAATGACAGCCTAATTTACATTGGGCCTCTTCTGCTTTAAAGATAGCTCTAAAGGTGTGTTAGATGTTAGAGAAGTTATTACCAGCCACGGTAAAATCATATGGTGCATATGGGTCACAACAAAGAAATTCTAACCCACTGGTTCCCATCTTAATTTGGGATCAGTTTAATTGATTATCTCTGCTGCAGACATGTGTGAGATCTGGTTGCAGCCAAAACTGCAGGGAAAATTTGACAAGTTGAGAAGGAAAAATGCTAGGAAGTGATTTATCTTCAGGGCAAGAGTTCATCTTTTTCTCCTTTGGGTCTGGAAATTCATGGGTTTTGTTTCCTAGATAAGACTCCCTACAACACTGGCCAACAGAGATGTGTGATGGTGAGGCAGTTCTAGGTGTGGACAATGTTATCAATAGCCCGAGGTTAAATTTGACAGACATTTAAAGTCTGGCATGAATAAAGTGATTGGAATATGTTTAGATGTCTTTGTTAACTGCTATTTGTAGTTGCTTTATCTTTGATTCTAAAAGTATAAATATGAAATGAAAACTTTTTTCTTTTTGAGAAGTTTTTGCTCTAGGGTGTGCGCGCTCGCCAAAAAGAGAGATAGAAAGCAAGAAATCACCCCCCAGTGGGGATGGCCATGCCGCAATCCCTTCTCCATTCTCCTCTGCGGATCTTGGGCACACACGCACATGCGCCCAGGGTGAGATTAAACCACCGGGTGGGTCCAGGACTCGAACTGCGGTTGGCTACATGGGAGTTCCGCGACATAGCCATTACGCTAACTGCTGGTCCCAGAAATGAAAACATCTTTAAATAAGAGAAAGCTATCTGAATGTATGGGATGATTGCCTAGTTATTGTATAAAATGTCAATCATTTATATGTGATTTACATGTAGGGGGAAATATCACTGTCATTGTATGAACTAAAAGATAAAATGCTAAAAATAATGACTCTGCATTCAAAGTTACCCATGTGGTTTGCCTTATATGGATATATACTTTTTTTACTTATAGAATGTTGAGAAGAATGTATTATCAAATTCACCTTCCAGTCTTAGGAGTAGGGCCCTTGTATAATTACAATGGGTCTTAAAAGAGTTCATGGAAAAAAACTGATGGATTTAATGTTTTTCTGCACTAAAATAAGCTCATACCTTAATTCCATCTCCCACAAACTTTTTGAAGTACTCACACACGTTATAAGCTGTCCCATGCGTTATGAATTGTTGACTAATAATAATGATGGTGAACATGATTTACTAGGTGTTATGTTACTTTATTTCATTTAATCCTCAAAATAGTACTATAAGATGTATACCTTGAGAACCTCTCTATACTGTAGATGAGGAAGTGGAGGCTTAGACTGTGTAACTACCCAGGTCACAGACCTAGAAAGTGTAAAAAATGAGTCTCCAATCCAGCTGTGTCTATTGTCAAATCATACTTCTCATCAATGTGCTTCATTGGCTTAATAACGTCAGACATGGATACATTTCAGCAGTCAGAGAAGTTTGGTAGATATTTTCAGAAAGGAGGAGATGAAGATATTACAAATATCTTTTTAATTACAGAGTGAGGAGGGGGGTTGAGAGGAATCACCTAATTTTTAAAGACTATTAACAAAAAATAGTTGGAATTGTTATAAAAGCAATTCTATATCTCATGCTATTTTTCATTTGTTTTATATCTGAGTTTTACTCTGGAGGTGAAATATGTGAAATTTTGCAATGAGGATCTCAAAATCTGGGGATACATTTCAAATAAAAAATTTATATTTTGCTCAGTTAATCCAAGGCAGGTTTCCACATTTGTTAAGCTCAAGACACTGTGCTAAGCAAGTCACTTAATTTGCACAAGCACTGTGTGAGCTGGTATTAGCACGGCCATGTTTTCAGCTGAGGAAGCAGTGCCAAGAGAGAGAAATATCCTAACGGAAGTTATATACATTTTAAGTCACAGAGCTAGGATTCCAGCCCATGTCTGCCTCATCCCCTTATTAGAAATACATTTACTGACCTCTAAGAGGTGAGGGAAATGAATCCATTTCCTCATATAGGGAGACTTTTAATTAACCTTCCTCTTTTCTTTGCTTTAATGCTTTATTCCTGCTAGCTTGGATACCCAAAACTTCAGGTGTTTGAATTTGGTTATATTTTAGAGCTGTTAGGTGACAAATTCCTTCCTTCTTGATGTCCCAGGGAGAAGCCTTTGGGTATGGTAGGTTATTAGGGCAGAGCCCCTATGACTGAGCTCTGGTGTGCTTTTAAGAGGAGAAAGGAAACCAGAATAAGCAGAAATGTGTGAGCAGCCTCTCTGCTTGAGATCTTGTTCTCTGCTATTTTGTGATGCCTTTGGACCTTCTGCATGGCCAGAATGAGTCTAATAAACCTCTATGCACTTAGATTCACCCAATCTCAGGTATTTCTGCAAGCAATGCAGCAATGGCCTAGGATAATCCCTAAGGTTGGTTACATACTCAATACAAGTTCTAATTTAAAGTTTGCTTTGAAATTAAAAAGCTGCATTGGTGTGTAGGTTTAAAAACTGCCAATCTAATCATCATAGCCTTTGTCTAGGAAACAAATCAGAGGCCTGTCCAGATTTCCACGTCGTTAGCTCAGTAGACACACAGCTGCAAATCAGCAGCTACAGCCTTATCGAATGATTCTTAGTACTTCCCTCCAAATGCGAGAGAAAACTCAGCAAACTGGTGATGAGTCTAGTCAGCACATTTTATCCAGAAAGAGTCAAAAATTTGAGATGCTGGATTAGTTCTGAAGTCTGAGGAGTTGGGCAGTATTGATGAGACACGTTCCTGAGCAGATTTCCTCCTTTTTTGTCATCTTCATTTAACAAGGCTTTGGAATCTTGTGGCATTTTTCCACCTTGTGGCTAGTCTGGGGCACTTGGGATTATGGAGATGACTGTAGGAATGAGTCCTAAAATTCTCTTAGGACTTGTTTAGGGAAACGTTCTGACTCAGGTGCCATGTAACACCTGCTTCCCTATATCTCCTGGTTCTGTCTTTTCTGACCTTCATTCAAAGCTTTGAATGGGTTAAAATTCCTTGAAGCCACTGTGGAAAGGCCAGCCACTGTGTACTGGGAGCTTCTGTTCTTTTGTCCTGCTCACATTTAGGGAAGCAGGGATGTTTTTACCTCACGCCATACCTTGGTGTGCCCTGGACCTCAAAGCCTTGCTTCCTCATTCGTGGGAGTTAGGTCCATGTGCCAGTACCGTCCTCAGGATCGACCTGTATATGTGGAGCTCTGAGCTTTTCTCCAGGGCTTTTGGAGCCAGTCTGTCTCCTGGAAGATGCTCTGCTCCATCCTCATCCTCACATTCTTCCTGGGTCAGGAGATGTGTTTAATCTAGAGAGCCCTGGACCAGATACCAACACTCCCCAATAGAGGTGTGGAAGCAGCGGCATAGACTAGGCTTTTCAGATGGACTTGACACATCTTCACCTGGCTTTGAGACTCTAGACAAGTCTCTGTTTTCTCATCAGTAGAATGAGATGAGTAACTTCCACCCACAGTCATTGTAAGATGAGAGTCAATGTATATAGAGCACCTGGTGTAATGCTGTGCATGTAATAGCCACTTAATAACTGGTAGTGTTTATTATGTGCTTCATTGAACTATTTGGTCAGTGGGAAGCAAAATGTAATTTCGTCATTCTTAGGCCTTCGGGATCATTTGCAATATCGGAAACAAGAAAATCAGGACTTGAGGTCTCATGAATGAGTTCCACACAATGCCTATCTTGGCTGTAATGAGATCTCCCAGTTCTTAAAGACAGATTTCATGAGGAAGTGAAAATTCTCTTTCTAAAGTTGCAGTCAGGGAAGACCAAGAAAACCTTTGGACCTATTGGGAGACTGAAAATTTAGGCTGAAGAGCTGGAAGGGTTGACGAATTCTAAAGGTTTGTTAGGTTGCAGAATAGTTTTCCGGCTGAAGTGCCTGAAGTTAAGACTCTTGGATCATCTAAAAGGAGACTGGACAAACATACGAGAATGAGCGATGCTACAGGCAAGTAAGCAAGGTGACCTAATGATTTCTTTCCATTTTTAAGGTCTAATTCTTTTTTTTTCTATTTTCTAATGTATATATGTTTTTACCTTATTGCATATTTCCCCCCAGATATATTTATAGATTCTACTTACAAAGCTTAAAATGACAGCAAAATGCCATTTCATACACTATTAAGTTCAGTCTATCCTGTCCTGCAAATTTCTCCTCCCTCAAAGCAAAGCTGTCGCATCCTGTTGCCTTATGCCTATTGCAATTTCTAAATTACACTGACAGTGGGGTCTATCCATCCTTGATAAGAAATTTAATATCCACTGACATTTAATATCACAAGTGGACTCACTTGTGACTCTATGTGGTGAATACAGCTGCAAATAATAGCACAGCTTTCATTTGAAGGTATTCCCTGGGATGGAAATATAGGAGAAACACTTTGTGCTCTAAAGATTAAAGAAGCAATCTGATAGGAACAACACTCCCATGGTGAGCAGTGCTTCCAGGGTAGGGTGTCAGGGGAGATGGCAATGGCCGTGCGTAGATGGAAGGGAGCTGGGGCCAAAGGGCATATATAAGATTGGGGGAGTCATGAGAGACATTGGGAGAAAGTCGGGACCATGCAGAGGAGGTTAATTACAGCACTGAGATGGAGTGGTGTTCAGGGTCTGGATGCTGCAGGAAGCAAGGCCTGAGCAGGTTTTGCAGAAGAGAACAAGCAGCCAGGCTGGAGTAGAGCAGCTGAGTGTCAGAGTCGCAACACCTTGTTGGACGCCAGGTGTAAAGGAGCTGGCTGACAGGCACAGCTGTGGCAATGGGAAAGGCTTTGCAAA